GCATGGAAGAGTTTGGTATGTAGATTGTATGGCAACATGCTGAACAAGATAAAAAAAAATAGGAATGATGGACTTGCATATATCAAACAACAAGTGTGGGATGCATGGTGTTGAGATTAGGCCACACTTGAGTTTTAGGCTCGATCTAAGTAGCGCTCTAGAATCGCACGTCAAAGACTAATGGTGTCGACATCGGTCCATCCGAGCATATGGCGGATCCATCTCTCGTGATTAAGCATGCCGAACATTTGGTAAATCTTATTATCCATGGTGTTATAAATTACTTTTTACATTTATTGTTTCTCTTATTATTTTTTCTATTTTTTGTAGCATAATAAATTGGGTCGTAACCCAAATCCTTACGAGGTGTTCCCGACCACTCACAACTAGAAAGATAGGTCATTCATTGACTAGCGGTCCTAAAAAACAATGATAAATTTTTTATTTTTTTAAATATATATTTATCAATATGATCTAAAAAGTATATTTATTATTTAATATTATAATTATTTCAATGATATAGGAGCATCCGTAGTCAATTCAAGAAGCAATCGCTTAAGAGTAGTGGAGGGTGATTCATCATCTCTAAATATCGACATGACTAAAATATATTTAAATGTCTGTAGGAGGAGAGAAAAAGTAGAGAGTGTATAACCTCAAATTACAAGCGTCTTAGTATTACTCCCATTCTTGTGTCAACTCCTTCTCCATCACTTTGCGAGTATCTTGTGGTAATATTCGGGTGGTTTTTACCCAATATAAAAATAGGATCAAGGGGATGAAGGGTACCATCTAGGAATAAGTGGGTAAATTCAACATTTTATAGAGTTAGATGGAGATAGTGATGGGATCGTTACGGGACCTATAGCAGACTCGCGTACCTTCCGTTGACCCCCACAACCTAGGAGTCGGCCGTTCCTCTCAATACCCAACGAGTCAAAAGATGATGCAAGAGATAATGATAATGAGGACTAGATTTCTTGTTTTTTTAAGGTTTTTAATGTTATCGTACACCTTAACGTATTTATATTTTTATTTGATTTTAATTTATATTATTTTAATTTTATTAAATAATATATGATGTTTTAATAAAGTGTTATTTGTAGGTATTTGTTACTATCATTAACATTAAATGGCTATTACTTTATATATACAAAAAAATTCTTCATTTAGCGATGGATTAAAGACAAAAATTAAACTTTTTTACGGCGGACACATATATGGTCGCTAAATAGCAATTGATTTAGTGACAAATTTATAAGAAATTTTAGCAACTACAATTTAGCGATGACATTTTCATCGCTAGTTAGAGTCGAAAACAATCCAATAGCGACGGTTTTGTGATAGATATCAAATCGGAGAGATGACTATTTACTTAAATTCTATACATTAGCGATGGCTAAACAACGACGACAATTTTTTTACATCACTAAGAAAGTAGCGATAACCGTTTTAGCTACTGAAAATATATTATCACAAATTTATCGCTAAAACTAAATAGTGACAAATATTGATGATATAGCAATGGAAAAATCTCTAACTATTTTTCAGTTTTCTTGTAGTGAAAGTATTAGTATATATATGATAATTAGATTTTCATGAAGTTCCATGAGTGAGTCACCACTAAAATAAGAGTAATGATAATCATATATAATTGTTTTATAAAATTCAATTATTCATAAAATATCAAACATTATACCAATATTTTACACGTTATATAATTAAATAGATTTGCCCAATAATATCATTATCATTGTGATATTTTTCAGTAAGTAGATTTTATAATATAATTATGTATAATTAGTATCACTAATAAACCAGCAGTGATTGAACAAAATTATGCTTCATTTGGAAAGTGTTAATTATTCAAAAAAAAAAAAAAGATAACAAAAACTTGGATAATGTAAGAAGATGCTAGACAAGAATATTCTTTGTATATATCCTGCATTTATTAAGTACACTTTAGAGTTTTTTTTTCCGCGAAGGCTTTTCTCGGTCTAAAGATGTTCTCATGAGTTGTCCATAAAGAGCCAAAACTAAAGACAAAGAAGTGTAGGCACATCCCACCAATTCATTGTCTAACGTAGCAATGCTTGATGCAAAGCTCATCGTCACTTTTTATAATGTGAGAAAAAAGTCTTGCCAAAAAAATATTGTTCTTAGAAAGCGACTCAGAAGGTCTAATTTAATTAAATTAATTAACACTACTATTAAGGATTAATGGGAGCTTATAGTTGTGTAGCGTAGTTCCCATGCATCTTTAATTTTTTTTTTTTTTTTTTTTAAAAAAGCACTGTGTTGAACCTAAATTGAAAGCATCACATAAATTGAAGCATTGATTAAAGAGTGATGCATGATTCTAGAAGCTATGCATTTTCACAATATCTCTATATCTTCCATGTTCCAATGCACTGTGTGGACCCTAAATTCAAAATAATATCGACATTAGTTACGTTATTTGTTAATCAATATATATATATATATATATATATATAGTTTGTAAAGATATTTTTAAAAGAAAAAATATTTATTTATAAATTATGTGATTAATTTTGGTTAAAAGTATTGTTAAAAATATAGATTATTTATGAGATAAATAAAAAAAAACTATTAGAGAATAATATAAAACATATTTTAAAATTTTGTCTAATAATTTAAATTTTTAAGTGACATCATCATTTAATATAATATTAAAGTAATTTAATATTTTAGATGAGATTATCTTTACAAAAGAAAAAGTTATAAAGAATCTTATGATTCCTCATTTTATAAGGAATCTTATAAGTTTCAAGTTTTTATTATGGCATCTATAGGATAGACGAGGAAAAAAAATTATCTAGAGTACTAAACCTATCAGGTAATGACAAGATTTTACTGATAGGTTGCAAAGAGTACAGGTTTTTGAGTGTCCTTATTGGTTGTTGAAATTCCTTTGGAAAAAGTGTAAGCATTATTTATGCAAAGCGTCCAAGATATGGGGTAGGTGAAAACTTCATTTCATGTCAACAGTAACCCTATACTTAGCCTGCTTTTGTTGTGAATTTTTATCTCATGATTAAATTATGTCTTCATTCAAATGAATGTGGAAAATGTACAATCAATATAATCTAAATTAAGGTAATTTTTTTTTATTTATGATTAAAAAAATATTTGTTTTTATTCATATAGTTTAGCCACATAAAAAAAAAAAATTACTCGACCCATTTCCTTATTTGTATTTCTTTAAGATATTTGCTTCTTGAGGAATGTAGGAATTCAATATCCATGAATTTGTGAGCATTGTGATTTTAAAATGGTAAATAGGATGGAAAGGATTTGTTTGACAGAAAAAAAAATCCAACTTGTTTGATTTATCAAAATAGGGACAAAACGTACTTTATCTCTATCTCTATCTCAAACGTAAAACTAATCTAAATTGGTATGGTCAAGACATATTCTTTGATTATTGTTCTGCCTCATCCGAATGCCCTAGATACCAATCCAAATGTAGCGCAAATTATCAATTTTTGTTTATTTTCTTGCTAAAAAGGGCACTTAACTTTTCTTCTCGGCTCTTAAGCCTTACTGATTGCTCTCCAGTTTATAGGCCCTTTATTGTTATTATTATTATTGTTATTAAAGTTAGTAATCCAAGACCCGCAATTTTATTGCCAATGGACCACAAGGATATAGGAAAATGGACCTGATTTTGAGACAGGTAGACACCATAAGGTTTCACCAAAAGGCACCATAATGTGGCAAACGTCCAATCCATCTTCATAATTTGAATTGTAAGTACGTCCCTTGAGATGGCACCCTCTGGCCTATTCTTTACTATCCAAATTCCAAAGTAGGCCGTAGGAAAGCACTTGCCTTTTCCTACTTGCTGGCCTCTTGAGTCTCGAGACAATTTTTTCCTTGGTTGCAAGAGAAAGGCTTTGATATTTCCAAATTTTCTTATATATGTTTAGATAATTTTCCTCCTGAAGCAGTAAATGTTCGTAAAAGTTATGTTGTTTTGGCCCCAAGAGGAAATTATGAACATGGATACTCTTTAGTGGTCCAAGTTAGTCAGTGGTATGTCCCTTGCACTAGTATGATAAAACTTAAAAGATGAAATTAATGACTAGAGCTTCAAGTTCTTACCTAGATTAATTTGAAATTCCCACCAAAATTTCATCTAAACTTTCCATAAACTCTTCACTCATATTATAAATTTACCATTGAATTCAAACATATGAAATGGAAGTATTTGAGAATTATATATGAACACATAGGTTAAATTGCACAATTAGCATATCATGAACACCCTCTAAATTGAAATTAATTTCAAACTCAAATATTATGTATGCGCGTAAATTTATAGCTCAATCGTTGTAGCTGACAACTTAATATTGATGAATTATAAAGGTCAAATAATAAATAAATATAACAAAAAAGGAAGTTACCTGATTAATAAGGTGGTTAAAAAGTATTTTAAATAGGATACAAATTTCTAAAAAGAGATTCCACAAATTAAGTTCATTGTTACTCGCAAATTTAAGTACTAAAAATCAAGCAGTTCCCATCCCCCCCCCCCCCCCTTCTTTTTATGTGTGTTCAGAAGCAAGTCCTCAAAGACTTCAATCATTAATTGGGCCTTACATATAAACCCTGATTATCAATAATTCTTAAGGGATACAAATAGTCTAATGTCAATTAAGTCATTGATTGGTTAGTACAGTCCATTTTAAACAATTTTAATTTCTTAAAATTAAATCTAATACAAATTGGAAATATCAAAATAAAGTAACAGAGTGAAAAGATATATATTTGTTCAAATTATGCCCCTGAAAGGTTCAAAATAACTAAAAATAGAATTTCATGCAAGTGGGGAGGGAGGCATCTCAAGTGGTGAAAGAGATGACTGGACTCAAACCTTCCGGAGCTATTTCCATTTGCCATATTCTGATCTCTACTTTGTTTGTGTTTGTTGTAACGTGAGAGCTAGCAGCTGGGGTGTGGTCCAATCTGGTGGTAACATGGGAATGGCTAGGTATTGCCTAATGTATTTTGGTGAATTGACACTTGTGGACCCTTCGGTTCATGGACATAACCAACCCCACTACCACACGTTATGTCCGTCTGTGAGTGGTGTGGCTCTTCATCATCCATCCCCCTCTTTGCCTCTTCATGTGCTACGTGACAGGTTTCCTCTATTATAATCCCTCCAAAATCCACTCTAAACCCCACACTTTCCCCTCTCTATCACCTCTACTAACTAGTAAAACAACAAATAAGCCTCCCCTTCCCTTCTCTCTCCCTCTCTCTCAATACGTCTTTCTTCTCTTCTGTTTTCTTTTGTTTTCTTCACCACCTTCCTCTCTCTCTCTCTCTCTCTCTCTCTCTCTCTCTCTTTCTCTTCCCATGGTTCCGATCTTTCAATCATGCCTTCCCATCCCAACTTCCGCTTCTCCCTTCCAAGGTATATACATCTTGCTGCTTCCTCCTTGACTCCAACACTGCATGCACGCACACATGTATTTCTAAACACATGCATTAAAATTTTATGCAACTCCCATCTGCGATTAGCTCACAATTATCGCATGTAATTAAATTACTACTAAAACTTTGCAGGGTATTCTTCTTTATTGTTATTATTTCTCTTTCTTTGTTTTAGATGGTAACATCTTTTTATGGTAACACAGGTGGATTGGATTGCTGTGTAACAAGAAGATCAAGAGCGAGACAGTTGACAGCAGTGACAACAGCAACCTTAACTGCACCAACAACATTGACGACAGCAACCCAATCTCCAACTCCATAGAATGCTATGCTTGCACACAAGTAGGTGTTCCTGTCTTCCACTCCACAAGCTGTGACCAGGCCCACCAGCCCGAATGGGAGGCCTCAGCAGGCTCATCATTAGTCCCCATCCAAAACCGGCCGCGCCCAAGAAAGAGCCCAAGTAGCCGAGCCCAATCTCGCCGGCCGACCGGTCCATTAGGAACCGTTCTCGATCCTCGTAGCAAGCGGGTGCAGAAATGGAACCGGGCTTTCCTATTGGCACGTGGCATGTCTTTGGCCGTTGATCCTTTGTTCTTCTACGCTTTGTCGATAGGGAGAAATGGGGCCCCTTGCTTGTACATGGACGGTGGTTTGGCCGCAATCGTGACCGTCCTTCGCACGAGCGTGGATGCAATACACTTGTGCCATCTGTGGTTACAGTTCAGGCTGGCGTTCGTGTCCAGGGAGTCTCTCGTTGTTGGGTGCGGGAAACTCGTGTGGGACGCACGTGCCATTGCTTCTCATTATGTGAGGTCTCTTAAAGGATTCTGGTTTGATGCTTTTGTCATTCTTCCAGTTCCTCAGGTTAGATATTTTGATTATCGAAACTAATAAGGCTTGGATTTAATCTTCTCATTAATTTTGGATTAAAGACAGTAGAGGGTGATATATGATGATATAGGGTAACTGTATGGTTCATGCATGATTATCATGTGTTTGTTTGTTTGGTTTAAGGTTATGTTGTTATTATTATTATTATGGGGTTTAAGGATAGGTTGGGTTGCTTGGTGTTGGTTTGGGTCATGATATAGCTAGTAGCGTGTGTACTCTCAGGATCAAAGTTTTCTAAGTCATTATTTTATAGTATGTCAAAGTTTTGGTTTTGCATAAAGCTTGGTTGGAGCTAAGCATGTTTAATTTGCCTCTCCTTGGATTTTTTTTTTTTTTTTTTTTTTTTAAAGAGCATGTTTAAATACTTTGGTTTTGAGTGTTTCTATTAAAAAAATAGTACGATATGAAAAAGGTAATAAAAAGTGTGACATAAAGATAAATTATTAGTTAAACCGATGAGTATATTATTCATAATGTATTCTGAATCACACTAACACTAGCTAGTGAGGTTCGTCTTATGGTTGGGTGGACATGGGATGGATGCAGAGTGAGGTCGGAAGTAGATCTAGGATTGCCGTTATTTGGTGCTGCCGATCTCAAAGAATGATGATAGTTTTGGTGTATTTATAGGATCTACACGTTTATAAGTACCATAAACATGGTCATGGTCTCCTTGATTCATAATAGACAACTGTACTAGCTAGGTTTTCTTCACCAATGAGTTTGTTTTATTTTTTAATTTTTTGAGTTTGAATTTAAAATTAATATTCAAAAGAATTTATTCTCTTAAATACATCAATATGATATCACCGGTTTTTTTTTAAGGTCTTTTGAAGAATAAATTTACTTTATTGTTGATGCACAAAACTAATTTGAAAATATATTTTATTATTGGAAAAAAAAATCATAAATGCATTTGGTAATATCGTAAGTTATGTCTCATTTTAAATATTCATACTGTAGAAAGCAGTAAAAGGAAAGAGAGAAAAAAGGATGAAAAGTGTTTCTCTAAACAATCATGGGACCACCAAACAATAGTGGACTGCAACAGTTGTGTATTCGTTTTGAAAATTTATAGTACCTGAGTAATCATGTTTTGAAAATTTGATGATCAGAGGGTATTCGTTTAGTGGGTGAGACAAGACCCCACCATGGATTCAGCTAAGTATTCATTTTCTGACCTTAATTATTTTTTGTCAGGTACGAGGTCGACTGATATTAAGCATGTACTATACTATAATAATGATGAGCTTTAAAGATTAACGGAAGTAGAAAAGTAGCCTACATTTATCAATGTTTGAGTAAAAGAAACTGATTTGACAGTAGAACTGTTGTCAAACTGTTTGATCTTTTTCATGGCAAATTAGTATCAGCCATGCAAGTGCTGTTTTCCTTGATTATCTTGAAGTTCATTAGTCAAGACACCCTGATTAATGTTATTTGAAATGATGATCGCTTTATTTTTCAAATAATCGTTTCTTTTGCAGGCTGTGTTTTGGTTAGTTGTACCCAAATTAATCAGGGAAGAGCAGATTAAGCTGATAATGACAATACTTTTGTTGATCTTCTTGTTCCAATTCCTCCCTAAGGTGTACCACTGCATATGCTTAATGAGAAGCATGCAAAAGGTCACAGGTTATATCTTTGGCACCATTTGGTGGGGCTTTGCCCTTAATCTCATTGCCTACTTCATTGCCTCTCATGTAAGTTGCTAGTGTTTGTATTTCTGTGCTAATGTTAAACTTCTTGCGCCATCAATTTCGGGAGTGGAATAAACTTTATGTTAATGTTCCTTTTTCTTTACTTTTGCAGGTTGCTGGTGGATGTTGGTACGTCCTCGCGATACAACGTGTTGCTTCATGCCTCAGGCAGAGTTGTGAGAGTAGACCCAATTGCGATCTCTCTTTGGCTTGCTCAGAGGAGGTTTGTTACCAGTTTCTCTTACCGGCAGGCACAATTGGAAATCCATGTGGTGGTAACTCAACATATACTGTTAGGAAGCCTATGTGCTTGGATGTTAATGGAGCATTCAATTATGGGATTTATAAGTGGGCTCTTCCTGTCATTTCCAGCAATTCTTTGGCTGTGAAGATTCTTTATCCCATTTTCTGGGGTTTAATGACCCTCAGGTAAATAATAAGACAATTCTGATACTTTTATCTCTTGCATCCGATTTGTAATGATGCCTGATGGACTTGTTAAGCTCCATGGTCAGGTGTGAGTGCCCTGGCTGCGTCCTCTGCTGCACTTGCTATATTGACATCTTTAGTAATAACTTGGTTTAAAAATAACGTAATAAGAATAAGAAAAATATGATTTAAGATGTTTCCTGAGGTTTTGCAGCAGCCTATTCTTTAGTTTCAATGGAGATTGGGTCATGAGTCCTGAAGGTCCTCTGCATAGACTTCTTGGAAGTTCAAATTGGAGTGGCTTCCTATGGTAGTTGAAATTCTTGCAAGCCCTAATATGTTGTGCCTATATGCAGCACCTTTGGCAATGATCTTGATCCGACAAGTAACTGGCTAGAAGTGATCTTCAGTATATGTATTGTTCTCAGTGGTTTAATGCTCTTCACTTTACTGATTGGAAACATCCAGGTGAGCTGATTCACAGACTCCTAAGTTTGAGGATGCTGAACCTATCAATCATTAATAACCATTTCGATGACGAGAAATTATGATTTCAATGAAGGTGTTCTTGCATGCGGTCATGGCGAAGAAGAGAAAAATGCAACTGAGATGCAGAGATATGGAATGGTGGATGAGGAGGAGACAGTTACCATCTAGTTTAAGGCATAGAGTTCGCCATTATGAACGGCAGAGATGGGCAACCATGGGAGGTGAAGACGAGATGGAACTAATCAAAGACTTACCTGAAGGACTCCGGAGAGACATCAAACGCTATCTTTGCCTAGATCTAATAAAGAAGGTGACAGAAATGACCTCTTAGCAATGATATCTGCATTCTTTTTATTTATTTTGAGCTTGGGGACCTAGGGTTAGTTTATTTTATAGGTTGTTCAAGCAAAGAATAGATTCTGATAACTTCTGCATAATTGTTTAGAAGTCTGATAAAGGTTATTTCAGAAAAAGGGGAAAAAAAACATAGTACTAAAATAGCACCATTGTAGAGCTCAGATTTCTATATATTGTGACTGCAATTTAATTTTTTTCAGGTACCTTTGTTCCACAACTTGGATGATCTGATTCTTGACAACATTTGCGATCGTGTTAAGCCCCTTGTTTTTTCTAAAGATGAAAAGGTTAAAACTTGAACTCCATTTATATCATTTGCTAACTTGACACTACTGCAAAATTAGTTCATTAATTTTCTCATCCGATGGTACAGATAATTAGAGAAGGAGACCCAGTGCAAAGGATGGTTTTCATTGTTCGTGGGCGTATAAAGAGTAGCCAAAGTCTTAGCAAAGGCATGGTGGCAACTAGCGTACTTGAACCAGGAGGCTTCTTGGGTGATGAGTTGCTCTCCTGGTGCCTTCGCCGGCCATTCATAGACCGACTTCCAGCCTCATCTGCAACATTTGTTTGTATTGAATCGACAGAAGCATTTGGTCTTGATGAAAACCATCTTCGGTACATCACAGATCACTTTCGCTACAAATTTGCCAACGAAAGGCTTAAGCGAACTGCAAGATATTACTCATCAAACTGGAGAACATGGGCAGCAGTAAATATACAGTTCGCTTGGCGCCGTTACCGGACGAGGACCAGGGGACCAGTGAATCGTATAACGGAAAATGGAGGTACCGAGCGCCGGCTCCTGCAGTATGCTGCAATGTTTATGTCAATCCGGCCACACGACCACCTTGAGTAAAAATTGTTAGCTATTCTTCAGTGATTGTTTCAATAAAGTCTTGTTTAGTTAGGCAGAAAATTCTTGTTTCAATAAAGTCTGGTTTCTGTAGGCAGAAAATTCTTCTCTGGAAGTCATGGAATTTGTACCTATTGCACAATATAAGCATTGCAAAAATCTTCACTATTCAGACGGTAATAACAATTTGTTCTCTTGATTTAGTTGGTTGAGTTTTTTCTACTATAAGATGTAACCCAATCAAACTTCTTATAAGTGAAATGTTCACAGCAAAGCTTGTAGCGGAAACTGAGTTACCTTCTTCCAAATCTAAGCTACTAATACAGAAATTCTGAAAGTCAGCATACCATGGCTGTGGAAGGTTGCTTGAGAGAGTTGGTGATGTGGAAAGAACTAGCAAAAGACCGGTATTTGCCCTGTTTCAGTAATAAAAAGCTACCCAAGCAAGAGATTAGAGATTCTTTGCACATTCAGTAACTCGGAATTGCTCATGGATGTTAGAAATTGAGAGGAGAGAAGCATGATGGAAAATCTTACTTATATTACTTCCATTGGAGAAGAAGTCCCATGGACATGTGAAAGTTCATGGAATTTTACGTTACAACTCTTTCATGACACTTTATTTATTTATTAAAAGAATTCATGACGCATATTTATATTAGTGTTAGAATAATTTCTAGTGTAACTAAGTCATTACTGTATTGAACGTAGAACACCTAAAATGACTCCTAGGAAAGCTTAGTACTTTGATATTATTCTAGATTTCAAAATTAATTTCAACAATAGACTTGTTTAATCAGCTCAACATTTTCTGGTTTCCTTTGGTTTCGAGTTTTCGAGGTGCTTCATCAAAGTTTCCAAACCTTAACTTGAAAAGGTTATGGAGTTGAAATCCCCCAAAGAAAAATAGAAAACCAATATTCAAGGTAATGCAGTAATTTCTTTTTCCATTCCAGTTATAAAAGCAGAGCTAAGTAAATGTTACGGTAGGCACCAGTGATGAAATAAAGGAATTAAAAAGAGTAGCAGAAATGGTAAAAATGGTGGTGTGATTGAATTAAGGACGTTGAGTGTACATGACCCAATGAGACATTGAGAGGCCCTAGTTCTCTCCCTAACAAGAATGTCCCCTAAATTATTACTTCACAACCGAATGCCCCACTTATCCCTTCCTTTCACACTATATTGGTTGTGGCATAACGGAATTGCCAGCTGGTCTTCTAGAACTCTCACACACACTATTCTTGCGTAACAAACAAAAGCATCCAGCAATAAAGGACAAACTAACAACATACAAATTAAAGATACTAATTAAATGAAAATATGACGACTACTTTGGCCACGATGGTTAGACCATCGGACCCATTCTTCTTGCGGCGTGAATAGACTTGTTTGAAAGGCACAATCGGGCTCTTATCATTACTCCCTCCTTTTTCATTCACCTTGTCCTCAAGGTGAAAGTCAAGAACCGATTGTTGATCAAAGCGACTGTTCCCGGTGTTGCTTCAAAATCTGGTAAATTCTTCCATTTAATTAGCATTTCCATTCCAACGACCCCTTCCCGGACTTGCAACACCTCTTCCGGCTCCACAATCCACTCTAATTCACTAGTTAAAGTAGGAGGCGGAGGTTGAGTTTGAGTAGCGAGTACCAATCAACTTCCCGAGTTGCGATATGTGAAAGACCGGATGTATGGATGTAGAAGCGGGGAGGTCCAGACTTATACGTAACTTGACCAATGCGTTGAACAATCAAATAGGGTCCAAAATAGTGAGGAGAAAGCTTCTCATTGGGTTTACGAGCAAGGGAGCGTTGTCTATATGGTCTTAGTTTCAAATAAACCAAGTTGCCCACCTCAAAAGACAAATCACGTCGGTGTTTGTTAGCTCGCTTCTTCATGTTATTTTGTGTGACTTCTAATTGCTCCTTTAGTTCAAAGATCATAAGGTCCCTTTCCAGCGAACATGTCATTTAAAGTGGAGTTGGTAGTACCATCCGGAACTTGCCGCACCAATGGAGGGGATCCCTCCCATAACACAACTTGAATGGAGTGGTTTTTGTTGTTGTGTGGTGCGAAGTATTGTACCAAAATTCGCCCAATGCGGCCACTTAGCCCATTCCTTGGGTTTATACCCCGCAAAATAGCGCAAATAAGCCTCTAAGCGGCGGTTCACCACCTCGGATTGCCCATCACTTTGTGGATGATAAGCGGTACTACGATGAAGACGTGTATGCTGCAACCGGAAAAGTTCCACCCAAAAATGGCTCATAAAAACCTTGTCTCTATCGAACACAATTGAACGTGGAAAACCATGAAGTTTGACCACATTGACAATGAATTCTTCCGCCACTTTCTTTACGAGTAAAGGGATGTTTCAAAGGTATGAAATGAGCATATTTACTCAATCTATCAACAACTACCAAAATGGAGTCAAACCCATTAGACCGTGGCATGCCTTTAACAAAATCCATGGTTATATCATTCCAAATAGCATCGGGAATGGATAAGGGTTGGAGCAAATCGGCGGGGACAAAGTGTCATACTTATTCCGTTGGCACACTTGACATTCGACACATATTTCTTCACATCGGCCTTAAGACCTTCCCAAAATAGCTCTGCCATGACCCTTTTATAGGTCTTTAAAAATCCGTCGTGACCTCCAATTGGGCTAGTGTGAAATTCAACTAGAATTTTAGGAATTAGAATTGAATTCCTTGGCAACACGACCCACTATTTGAAGCAAAGCAAGCCATTTTGCACTCTGTCTAATCCACTCTAGCTAAAGGGTCGGCTTGAATTTCTATAAGTATGCTACCAAGCTTGGGATCCTTGGCAACTTCATCCTTTATAATTTCCCGGTCTAGCGGATACGACACGCTTAGGACTTGCAAGGCAATATCGTTAGTAATTCTAGAAAGAGCATCTGCAGCTCGATTTTCCATCCCCGGTTTATAATGTATTTTGAAGTCGTAACCAATGAGTTTGACCGGGCATCGTTGATATTTCGGGGCCACCAAACGTTGCTCAACGAGTATTTCAAGCTTCGCTGGTCGGTCTTCACAATGAAATGCCTCCCCAATAAATAGTGACGCCATTTTTGAATGGCAAGGATAATGACCATTAACTCCTTTTCATAGATCGATTTGTGTCGCGCTCTTCCTACTAAGGCACTGGCTGAAAAAAGCAATGGGTCTATCTCGTTTGCGAAATTACCGCCCCAAGTCAAATTCCTAATGCATCCGCCTCGATACGGAATGGAATGGTAAAGTCGAGCAAAGCTAATACGGGGACAATTGTCATTGTTTGCTTAAGGTGGTTCACAGTCAGTAGTTGCCTTATCACTTCAAGTAAAATTATCTTTCTTTAAAAGTTCGTGTTAATGGGGCGGAAAGCTTTCCATAGCCTTTACCAAACCTCCGGTAGTAATCGGTCGGTTCAAGAAATCCCCGAAGCTCTTTAGAATTCCTTGGCATTTGCCATTCCGTCATGGCTTTTACTTTTTCGGGATCCGCTTCCACTCCAAAACCCGAAATTATATGACCCAAGTATTCCAATTTCATCTTACAAAAACAACATTTTTTGAAATTGGCATGCAACTCATAGGCGTGCAACACCATTAGGACTTTCCATAAATATGATAAATGCTCACCAAGGTTGGTACTCGTAAATCAAAATGTCATCGAAGAAGACAAGGGCATACCTCTTCATCATTCCTTTAAAAATGTGATTCATCAATGATTGGAAGGTAGCCGACGCGTTTGTCAAGCCGAGCGGCATGACTAAAAACTTATAGTGGCCTTCATGAGTACGAAATACGGTCTCGTATGCATCCTCGGGTTGGATTCTTATTTGGTGGTAGCCCGATTTAAGATCAAACTTGGTAAAGATCATTGCCTCATCTAACTCGTTAAGGAGCTCATCAATGTTAGGTATGGAAAAACAATCGAGTACGGTTGCTTTGTTAAGAGCTCGGTAGTCAACACAAAACCTCCGAGCTTCCATCCTTTTTCGTACCAACAACACCGAACTTGAGAAAGGACTCGTCGCTAGGTCATATAATACCCGTTGTTAACATCTTCATCACCAACTTCTCAATTTCTAACTTTTGAATTTGTGGGTAACGATATGGCCTAACATTAATTGGTTCGGTCCCCTCCTTCAAGGTGATAGCATGCTCATGTCCCCTCTTGGGAGGGAGTCCCATTGGTGACTAAAAAACATCATCAAATTCACTTAACACTTCCCGCACAGTCGGTGCCAACGGTTCCCTCTTCTTCTCATTCACCACCACAATTGACACAACTCAACCAGCATTCCCTCCTTCTCTTACTTGGATTGTCCGTACCATTGTTTTCGGAGAAACCAAGGCCTTTTGAGGCTTGGGTCCCCCTTTAGCAATACGGTTCGCCCCTCATTTCAAAGGACATAGTGAGCTTCTTCCAATCGGAGTAAGTTACCCCAAGAGTTGCTAACCATTTTACTCCCGGTATGACATCCGAACTTCCTAAATCAAGAGGTAAGAAATCTTCAACTATTGTCAACTCTTGTAGCTTCGGTATAATGCCCCTACGATTCCTTGTCCCGGTAATTTATTTTCGGAACCAATAACAATCCCATACTCCGCTGTTTCGAAACGAGAATTTGAAGTGTTGATACCAAATCGACGGACATAAAATTGTGAGTCGCGTTGCAATCGATTAACACCACAACCGGTACACCATAGACCTCACCCTTCGACCTTAATGTCTTATGCTCCGATAGCCCAACCACGAGTTCAAAGAAAGTTCCACTTCCTTAAATGCCTCTTTCTCCCACTCGTGAATTTTTAGTACCATCTCCAACTCCGTCCACTCCTTCACTAACAAGCAAGACATGCGACTCCTTGTTTTTACAATGATAGGTTGGACTCCACTTCTCATCGCAACGATAATAAAGGCCTTACGCTCATTTTTTCCGAGCTTCGGATGGGGAAAGTCGTTTGAATCAAATATTTGTGTTAAAATGAGAGAAAGATTTAGGGTCGGTTTGAGTGTTTTGAGTTAGGGTATAAGGTCGGGTTTGTGTTGAGGTAAGATGGTTCACTGGGCTAGGTTTAGAGGGGGTCCATGTAATTGTCTTCCGATCCGGCTTTGTTTGGTTTGAAGGGAGCTCTTTGTGGGTTTTATTGTTTGGGCTTAGAATCCGGTTTTTAGCCTCGATCTTTATGGCTACCTCCATCATCTCTTTCAACCCGGAGGGGTTAATCACCATCGACTCGACTCTTATGTTTTCTTGTAATGCGTTCACGAACATCGCAGGGCGAGTTCCTTCCTTCAACTTCCCAACCATAGCCGTCGGGAACTCAAATTGTGCCCTATATTCCGCCACTGTACCATCTTGTTTCACCGCAAAGAATCGATGCAACATATTCCCTTCCCTCATATCCGCAAATCGATGAAGCATTTGCACCTTCAAAGCATCCCAAGTCGCAAATGGAAAATCTTGTTCCTCGAACCTTAACCAAGCTTGTGCCTCTCCTTCAAAACACACTCCAGCGAGCTTTCAATTTCTCTCGCTTTCGTGAGCCGATTAATAGAGAAATATCGTTCAGCTCGAAATATCCAAGCCCTCGGTTCTTCTCCGTTGTAAACTGGCGGTTCTAATTTCCTTAGAAATCTCTCTCGATCCCTACCGGGATTTGCCACCACGGTAATGGGGGTTTCGGAGTCGGTCGTTGTAGCTATCGCTTTGCCGGATCCGGAACTACTCGCCTCTGCCACATTACTAGCACTCTGTATGTGTGTTTGGAAATCTTTGAACTCCCTAACTAACAAAGTCATAGCTGCAGATCGAGTCGGCAACTTGCTCCTTCATGCCTTTTAGTTCATTCACCTCCTCGACTAACTCGCTCAAACTTGTTTGCCATTCTAGTTTTGGTCATCAATCACCTCGGGATCGAGTTGGCTCGATACCAAATTGGTAGGCACCGACTAATGAAATAAAGGAATTAAAAAGAGTAACGTAAATAGTAAAAATGGTAGTGTGATTGAATTAAGGACGTTGAGTGTACATGACCCAATGAGGCATTAGAGAGGCCCCAGTTCTCTCCCTAAAAAGAATGTCCCTTAAATTATTACTTCACAACCGAATGCCCCACTCATCCCTCCCTTTCACACTATATTGGTTGTGGCATAACGAATTGAAAGCTGGTCTTCTAGAACTCTCACACACACTATTCTTGCGTAACAAACAAAAGCATCCAGCAATAAAGGACAAACTAACAACATACAAATTAAAGATACCGATTAAATGAAAATATGACGAGTGCTTTAGCCACGATGGCTAGACACTCGGACCCATTCTTCTTGCGAGCGTGAATAGACTTGTTTGAAAGGCACAATCGGGCTCTTATCATGTTCTTTCCAAAACCTAAGCATAAGAATAGCATAATGGAGTTGCATTGGTTAGACCATAGTTTTAAATCCCGGATGGTTGAAAAAATAATTGTGGTTGCTATTATGGATAGCGACTTATTATAATATTAAAATAATGATAACAGAATATTTTAAAATCATTATATAACATAATAGTCGTTATATGACGTAACGATAATTATTAAAAACTATGGGTTAGACACTTGAGACTAGCAAGTTTTTTGAATGCCATTGCCAACCAAACAGACCCTAGAAATTTCAATAAGAGTCCCGCCATTCCTATTATAACTATTTTTTGGTGGATTATTAGAGAAAGAGGGAGGGATAAATCATAGATCGTTAGAGTTCTAGGAGTAGCCCTAAGGTCACGGCCTATTTGCCTCCAAATTAAGGGCTGAGAGATGGAAGGCCAAAAAAACTCCCTCCAAATTTAGAAACCACAATATCCAAGTCCTACAGGAATTCTCATTTCACTTTAATACCCAAGAAAAGAAATAACATGGATATCATCATCATCTTCTCCTGACCTGCCTGAACCCTTTCCCGCGTGCCATTCGCAAGCTTTTTCTAGGGTTTCTAGACCTTCCCTAGAAATTGCTTTTGAATTAATAGCTCCATGTTCAACTCAGGTGTGCATGTACTGTTTGTGTCTGTTAAATTAAAACTAGCTGAGATTGTTATCACAATGTTGGAATGCATTAAATTTACTTGAATGGTATTAATTTAGAGGCGTAGTTTCAATGATATATGATAGTTAGATTGATGAAAAGAAGTTGCTTTTTTAGTGCCTTATCAAGCATCTAATGTCTTACCATGCACCCATCTTCAACGTTGAAAAGTTTGGTTTCTCTGAGTAGATCGAAATCTTGTCATTTGAAGCAGGGAGGATCTCTTGTATCAGCTAAATGGGGTTGAAGTTTGCAAAGCAGGGGCCAGGAAAGGCTGGGAACTCAGATTTGTCAGCTGCTCAACTTACATTGATCAATTGTATCACCAAGAGTATTTATATTCGCAACTGGGTATCCAAGCATCGAAGACGGATGCTTGTTGCCGGTTATGATCTTGACATGTCTTATATCACAGGTCATATATTGGCAATGTCATTCCCTGCAGAACGTATGCGAGCAATGTATCGTAATCCTCTGTGGCAGGTGAAATCAGTCCTGGACATGCGACACGGGGATCATTACAAGGTGCTTATTTCATATTTTATTTTATTGGAACACAAAAGAAAATGACTTTAGACAGAATTCTCTTGCTTATTTTTCAAGATAATCCCTCGTAGGGAATCACATTTCACATAACAGTGTTGTTTCGGTGAGTGGTATCAGTGTGTTGTTTTGGTGAGTAATCTTTTAATTAAAATCAAGACAGCTGCAATCTTCTTCTTCCCTAGGAGTGGATGGCTTTCCACTCATTCTCGAATGCAATGTTGATTCGCAAACAGAATGTGCAAAATCGTTTCCAGGGAATCCATTAAATGCATAGTGTTTAGCTTTTGATTTTCATCCTACACTGATCTTCTATCTATCACTCTCTTACTTTTTGTTGGTATTTTGCAGATTTATAATTTGTGTATTGAGGAAGCTTATGATCCATCCCATTTTCATGGCCGTGTTGAGACATATCCTTTCGATGACAACCATGTCCCACCTCTTGAAATGGTCAAGCTCTTTTGTGAGAATGTGGATTCATGGCTATCATCTGACCCAAAAAATATCGCAGTCGTACACTGCATGGTATAATTGCTTAGTCTATCTTTCAAAGAAGGTTTCTTCGTTGCCTTTTTTGGTTGTTTTGTATTCTAAATTCTGGTTCCATTACAGCATACAAACTCAACTTCAGAGTTTATTAACGCGTGATAACCTAATACAGCTGAAAAATCAAGAAGTTTAAATACCACGTGTTAAAGTCCCAGTATAATGGAAAACATTATTTGTGCTATCTTGGCTGTCAGAACTTGCAGGAAAAATATGATTATATTGCTCATAAATCCATAGATATTACGAAGTGTTGTAAATTATGTAGAAGTATTTAGTAACAACCTGAATGAGAAAGCTTAGTGGAATATTTTTCCTTGATCTAGTTGTAGTGTTCTTCCCTTAGTTTCAGTGCTTTCACTTCGAATTTTGCAGGCAGGCAAAGGTCGAACAGGCTTAATGGTATGTGCCTACCTTGTTTACACTGGCATGACAGCAGAGGATGCTCTTCAGCTATATGCAAATAAACGCACCACCAATAATCAAGGAGTAAGTTTACTTCCGAAAATGTTGGAATGTAATTAAATGACATTGGCTGCAACAATTTTCTGAAATTCCATTCTTTGTTTCCTTTTCATTTACAGTATTATATGCACATGTGATTATAGGAAAGAGTGTAGGAGACTCTTAGAACCTTGAACAGGCAATGATCACTGAATAGGGTAAAAAAATCCATAGAAATGCAATATACAATTGCCAATCTGGAAGTTTACTTAGACTGAGTCGATGCTGGTTGTTATATGATAAATAAATAACTCAGAATCTTGAAACGAACATGATTACCTCAGGTTTAGGGTCTTTATTTTAATTCAGGTGTACTGAGGTTTAGTTCAATTAGAAGAGATGTTCCCAACAGTATAAACATCAGTCCATTAAAATGCAAAGTTCTACAATGTTTTGGACTCGTTCATGAGGACATTAGTAGAGCAGCTTGATATCAAAAAATTTGTGTTGGATTTCTCTAACAGCTGATAGTGGTGAATCTGTTCTGCTATCAACCTTTCATAGACATAAACAACTATATGTTTTGTCTTTCTGATTTGATTCTTAGGGAAGAATCAAAGTCCACTTGAGTATTTGTTTATCTGCTCTCTTGGGAATTCGATACAGAAAAAATTAAGAATTGCTGAAGATGAAAATAGATTACCATGTCAGATAAACACATTATCATGCTTGTCTGCAGGTATCGATACCAAGCCAACGTCGATATGTGGGATACTGGGCAGATTCACTTTCTTTTCCCAAGAACGTTGGTGAGAGTCATGGACCTCCTAAAGTGATCTTGCCTAATTCTCGTGTTAGAGAATTGAGAAGAATTCGACTTTATGACATGGTTAACACTGAATCCGTCTTCTTTGTGGTCTCGGAGTTGCAAGAGGTAAGCACTAAGCAAACCCCGATCAGATTTCCAGTCACGTCAGATTCATTACTAGCTTATGTTTTTTTTTTTTCCCCACACGCAGAGTTAAGTTTCTATTGCTAACTATAAGATCTCTCGTGATTCATAAAGCAAGTCTAAAATGCTACAGATTAATACCAGAGCACATGCACTTACTTCAGGTTCTAATCTGCGGTCATTTCTGATATCACTCAACTCGTTTCTATTTTTAAAATTCTGGAGCAGAATAAACATAGATGGTAGGTAACTGGCTCATGTAATTTACCAGGAATTAACAGCTTGTCAATCTGAAAATTCAATGGAGATAAGTTTCTTGATATTGTGCCATGAAGCCTTGTTTATGGGTTATCATTTGTGTGATTTCCTAGGAAGACACATTAACTGATTCTTTGAGTTCAATTCTGATACCAATTTTGGTTGAATCAGAGTAAACTTTAAATTTCATTTCTTCTATCTTCTCAGCCACATAAAGTAATTAGAAACTGAATCATTTTTCTTTTTCCCCAGATTCCCGGCCAGTTATACCGTCCACCAGTGGAAGTTGCCAAGAGTTGCCTAAGACCAATTAAGAAAGGATATCAGAGAAATAATAGTCCTCGATATTACATCTCATTCACAGAAGGCAATGAAGAAGAGGAGGATTTAAAACCTCCAGAATCGCGCCTTATCATTCAAATGGACACAGAGAGTCCTATAATCTACCAGAAGACCACTCTTGACCATTATTTTGATACACCTATACAAGTAAGTTGCAAAGACCAAATCTTTAACATTTGGGAGAACCTGAAATTGTTTTGCATACTTTGTGTATGATTCTCCGTCACACATTCAGATTTGAAAAGATTCAGCTGTCTGCAATATGCCTGCGAAATATTATGAAGAACCACATAAACAATTCTAGGAATAATTTATTAGCATTTAAGCAGTCATGGCTGAGAGTTGTTGACTTTAAGCCTAGAACGTGCATGGTCTTTCACACGGCTGATGTATTTGACATATATTCAAGCGTATTTTCAGAGCATCGTGCATTTTTGAAGGTTGCATACTCATTACTATGGATCAATAGCAATAACTTGAAATTAATCATAAATGGTGGGCAGGTCAATGGAGATGTACGTGTCATATTCTACGAGAAAATGATAGGAGGACGTCTCTTCTACGTCTGCTTTAATACAGCTTTCATTAGGAATGGCTTGCTGCAGGTAATTTATATCTGTTAATTTTGCAGGGTTAAATTTCCCTCTGCATCATTCGAGAGTAGGAAAAAAAACCACCAGCATTTGCTTTAGAGGCGTAAGAATCAGGATCAGGATTGAAGGATCGTTTACCATACTACCATACCGTTATATATAGCTACTCAGCCTTGGTCTAGAAAAGTTGACGAGGGCAATAATTTTGAATTGGTAGAGACAATGGCAGCAATAGATTTTGGCTTGAGTTTCTTGATTACAAACAAGTCAAAAGTTATAGGAAAAACGGTTTCCTTAAGTTTGTTTGCAGAGCTCTTTTTTTATTTTCTGCCGAACTGGAAATGCACTCTGGACCCGAAACGTCAGAAAGATGAATTGTTCATAATCAAAATTTGAATAAAATTATGGCTTATGCAAACTTACTTTTTCTCAAGAGGTTGCTTCTGTACCTTGCAGTTCTCCATGCGAGATTTGGATAAAGTTGGGACTAAAGGTAGATCAATATGTGGCCCTGCCTTCTGCTTGGAGTTGCTCTTTGCTCCAGCTAATTCACAGCATTCAGGCTTGCTAACTGAGAATGACGATTATGATGATGACATTAGTAACAATTCTCCTTGAGGTCTTAAGTTGGATATCTTATAAATATATATAATAGGCTGTATGCATATAAATACACCCCCTTCTCACTCCTGAGGAGATCGACATGAAAAACCTTTTGTAGCATTACAGTACAGCAGCATGTAGCCCTTGTCCATCCTGCTGTCTACTTTTTCATGGACAGTAGGCACTAGGAATAAGATAGAGGTCTCTGAATTCATATTTTGAGGGCATTTAGCAGGAGAAGATCAGATATGCATTTGTTTGTTTCCAATGAAAATAGATAAAAGTTCTATCAGCAATAAAATTCTAACTGAAGAGAGGGCTTTTTTCTAGCTTTTGCTTTTGCCATCCATATTAATCTATCAGCTTTATGTTTATGTTGGCAGTATAAAACACGGCCATGTGCGTATTTAAGCTTACTGGTCGTTACTAGCATAGTACCTGCCATCTATATAATATGTTATAATATCTTAAATAATTTAAAAAATTTAGGTATAAAATAAAAATTAACATTAATTGTAAGAATTTGTTTAATTTAATATATATTATGTAATATTTAATAATATTTTTATATTTCATAATTGAGTTTACATATATCTCATGAATATTTTTTATTTTCATCAATAAAAAAATTGAAAAAAAAACATGCTTGATAATTATTATTTTTTAAAACATCAAATTAGAGAATAATGCTAAATCAATTTATATTAGAAAACTACTTATTTTAGTTAATGACTAAGTTAATGAATTTATAAAAGAAAATAATAAAAAAACCATTAACTATTGAGAAAAAAAATATTTTGAGAAAATAATAAATAATAAAAAAAGGAGGTTGGGCTGGGGTCGACATCAAGCCCTTCTGGGTGGACCTGGAGACGGCTAGGACCGCACGCATGGATTGGCAGCACAACCGAACCATTAAAAAAAAAAACAAAAAAAAAGACCTTTGTGTAACAAAAATTAAGATCAAGAACTATTTTGAACAAAATTATAATTCTAAGGACCAAAGTATATAAAATGTTTAAACAATCATTTTTTATTTATTTATTTATTTATTTTGCAAAACAACCTCGTTTCAATGTGAAAAAAAAGAAGAAAAAAACCATAAACGACCTTATTTTGTCCGTTGTATTAAGAGTTTAGTAACAATGAAACTCTATTTAGTTTTAGTATATATTAGTTTTTTTACTCACACTACGCTGTGGATCAGAAAAAATATATAAAATTATTTTTAAGAGATTATTTCATTTTGATGTCTTATGTTATATTGTACGTTTATCAAAATATATCAAATCAAAACTAAATAAAAATTCGTTCAATTTTATCATTTTTAATCAAAATTTTGTGTTTGACTAATTATTCTTTATATTTTTATAATTTTTTTATTAAAAAAATTATTTATTTATCTATATCCACATTTTTAGCTAAAAAATTATTTTGTAAATTATTTTTTTCTAAACATCTTTTTGCCTTAAAATTTTTAATTAAAAAAATAAAAAAAAAAGTGAGGACCAAAGTGACCAATATGAAACAAAAAAGTGGGACCAAAATCAAATAAAAAATTTACAGACTAAAATAATAATATTTAAAAAAGAAGGACCAAAATTTAATGTCACTAAAATTTTCATAATAAATGTCTTTAAAATGTCTAAAAACTACAAAAATATCATTGTATAGTGAAAGAAATAATGCATCCGAGTTTGAATGAATAGTAAATATGAACTTGAATAAATAGTATTTAGAATAGTGTAATTAATAGTAAACTTATGTTTTGGTTTATTTTTTTATTTTTTTCTAATACAATGCTACATGCTTAAGCTATGTCTTCTCATGCTTAGACGAGTATGATATGGTTTTCTCATATATTAGTGATTTGCTGCTACATAAGAAATCATTTAATAAGAACTAAAATTTATATTTATTTAGTCATTTTATTCAATTAATGACTTTATATTATTTATTTTTCTTAAATTATTTTTATTTACTTATAAATCAAAGAAAAAAATCTAACTTTTTGCTATACCAAAGAATATTATGACTTTAAAAAATTCTTCTAGTTTGAATCTAGGGCGTTTAAGGATCCTAGCATTAGAAACTTTTTGCTTGATCTTATTTCTTGTATACACCAAATTCTTGATTAAACAAATCGAGAATACTACAGTCAACCTAGAGTGCCCTCACAATGAGGTTATCTTATGTTTCAAACTTAGGAGAATTCATTATCTTTTTATCTTGATTTATATGTTTGACTACTTAGGCCTTTTCTAACCAAGTCTCAAGAAAGATGATTTAGAAACTGAAATAAACTCGGTCTCTCACCTAATATATTACTCGGGTTGTTAGAGCCAATTTGAGAAGGAAAAAATTAGGACTCGAAAACCCATTACACATTAAACTCTAGTCCCGCAAAAATAATTTTAAAAAATGAACATGGGCCTTGGCCCAAATTCACCTGCCAAGCCATAAAAAAAATACAACAAAATTACAAGCCCATAATAAAAAAATGAATAGACATAGGTCTTAAGCCCATATCACCTGCTATGCTATTTTAAAATATAAAATTAGGCCTAATGCCAAATTGAGAGCTAAATTTGTAAGAAGAAGAAATTAGTAGCACCATATATATATATATATATATATATATATATATATATAATAGCTAAAAATAAAATAATAAGAAATAGTCCGTCATTGAAACAAAATAGGTCTTAAGTCCTAAACCTACTCCATCTAGACTAACCTAGACCGATATCATATAAAATAAACATAAAAAATGCAAAACATAAAAAACACGTGAGAAAATCACATATCACATAAAAATAACTTCATAAAAAATAAAATAGCCATAGGCCTCCACAAAAACCTCGGCCTATAAATTCAAATTTGGGTTATTTTAATTTTCTAAAAAAATTGCTAGCCTATTGCTAACTTTATCATTGACCGATAGTTCCTCGGGGACTTATTATATACAACTTACAAATACTATATAATATGTCAAACAACTCCTTTTTATTGAAAATAATGATATATAAAAAATAAAATAAAAAATAAAACTACAATAAGGCAAGATTTTTTTAAAAAAAAAACATTCAAAAAAAGTAAAATAAAATAAAATTATGATCCACTATTTTCAATCTGATTTAGCATTAAAACAAATAGCACACCAAACAATCTGAATTTAGATCTGATCCTATATTCAAGTTTATAGATCTGTCAATTACACCCCTAATCAAACATTTTATATACCATATTCATCATCCATCACATAATTAACATTACTATGTTATGGAACATAAAATTAAAAAAAAAAAAAAAAAACCAAGCAAAATCATGAAATTCGAATAAGAATCAAAGCAGAAACATGAGAGTGCAAGGGTGTAATTACCTAGATCCAAAATTCAAGGACTAAATTGAATCTGTGGGTCGCAACAATGGTGGAGATTAAAGAGGCGTGCATGCGAGTTGGTCGATCATTGAAACAAAGCGGTTCAACCAGCCCTGTAATCATCTCTGATGGAGGATTCTGATGGTCCTACGCATGTTGACTAGAAGTTGATTAGTTGAGAGTGACGACGAATTCTTTCAGCTGCTATTTTTTTTATTTCTTTAGACTGCTAAGGTTTTTTTTTTAGGTGTCTGCGTGTGTGTCTGTGTGGGTAGGGTAGGATCTATTTATAATACTACTTAGGTCAGTTTAGGGTTTTCTTTTCCTATTTTAAGGGAATTGGGTTAGGCAGCCCATCAGGCTTGGTTTGCTTAGGCTTGGGTGCGGCCAAGCTTATGTTGGCTACCTAGTGCAGCTACTATCCAACCTCTTCCTCTCTTTTTTTTTAGTATGTATATTTATTATAGTTTTTATTGGTATTTTGGGGGGTAAAAATGAGTGATGACAAATACATTATGCTTTATTACCTACAAAATTTATAAAAGCATAAAAAAATTAATTAAATATAATATTTTGATTAAAATTATAAAAATAATTTTAGAATATTTAAAAAATTAATAGTAAGTGGTTTGTGTTATATGTGTAGATGCATAGTTAATTTCTAATAAAATCAAAGATTTCAATTATGTATGTGTGTGTGTGTGTGTGTTTGTTTGTTTATGTGTGTGTGTGACCATACTTAGTAGGTTAGAGTATGCAATATAAATCAAAAAATATTTTTAAAAAAAATTTAAATTATAAAAAATATATTAAATTTAATAAAATTTAATAAAAAAATTATAAAATTGGTTTTGATATATTTTGATTATATAAAAAATAAGCAAATAAAACATATGAATTCGTAAGGAATATATTAAATTTATTTATTTAAAAAAAACTTATTCTTATGAGCACATATGGATTAGGACTATCCCTTCGGACAACTCCTTATTTTGCTCTTCTACCTTTCTTTTTTTCACTTTCTCAACCTCCAACTTCTATTCAAATTGTTGATTTAGTCGAAGTAGCTCCACTTGATTCCTCATGTCTTCTTGTATGGTGACCAAGTACCCATAATCATCCTCTCGTTTTTTGCTTATTTTAGATTGTCTCGACCGACTCATATTGAAGTTTTCCATAGAGAATTCTTGTACCATCGCATTTTCTTCCTCCAAATCTTGGGAACTATCTTCGACTACACTTCTCCTTGATGCCTTATATAACTTTGGTAAGGTATGAGGAGTTCCCTTTTAGTTTTCCATCTTGGATATCCCTCTATTGTCCTCGGTCCGTTTTTGTTTCATGAAATTTTTCTTACTCTAAGCGGCCACTTGTAACTTCTAAATTAGGCATGAAATCTCCTTTTAAGAAGAAATCATACTCAATTAATTTGATAGTTTGAGGAATACATTGCATATACCCTAATTGTCTAGTAGTAATACGTGGTAAGTAACTTACACAACCTCTAGCTCCGATAACTAATACCCAAGGAAAATCTCTAGTTTTCATAAGATATCAAGCAAGTGACATCTAAGTAGCTCTCTAAATCACCTTATTAGGGCTTAAATTTTGATAAACACTCTCCCATTTTGCT